TCCGCGCTCGGTGTCCCGGGGTCCCGCCGCTCCGCGCTCGGTGTCCCGGGGCTGCCGCCGCTGTCCGCGCTCAGCCGCGGCCGCTCCGCGGGCCCGTCCGGGGGCTCGGCCGCCGCCTCGGGGCACAGCCCGGGCCGAGCCGCCGCCGCCTCGTGCTCGCCTCCGTCCCGCGGGACACCGCTGCGCTCCGGGGGCCGCCCCGGGCTCTCCGCCATGCCGCGACCGCCGGGACGCGCGGGACGAGCCGGAGCAGCGGAGCGGCCGCGGAGCAGCGCCGGGCACGGCCGGGGGGAACGGGGCGGTGCCTGCGCGGGGCCCGGGGCGGCGGGGCCGGGACTGAGCTCCTCCCCCGTGCCTGCCCCGCTCCGGGCACAGCCCCTGCCCGGGCACAGCCCCTGCCCGGGCACAGCCCCTGCCCTGCTCCGGGCACAGCTCCTGCTCCGGGCACAGCCCCTGCTCCGGGCACAGCTCCTGCTCCGGGCACAGCCCCTGCCCCGGGCACAGCCCCTGCCCGGGCACAGCCCCTGAGTGGGCACAGCCCCTGCCCCGGGCACAGCCCCTGCCCGGGCACAGCCCCTGCCCGGGCACAGCCCCTGCTCCGGGCACAGCCCCTGCCCTTCTCCGAGCACAGCCTCTGCCCTGCTCCGGGCACAGCCCCTGCCCGGGCACAGCCCCTGCTCCGGGCACAGCCCCTGCCCCGTCCCACCGCTCCGGGCACAGCCCCACACCCGCTCTGGGCACAGCCCCTGCTCCGATCCAATGCTCCGGGCACAGCTCCTGCCCTGGCACAGCCCCTGAGTGGGCACAGCCCCTGCCCCGTCCCACTTCTCCGGGCACAGCCCCTTCCCAGTTTCACTTTGGAGCGGGACCGCAGCCACCCCGGCCCCACCGGAGCCTTTGCAGAGTGACCAAAAATCTCCTCTTTGTGTGTGTGTGTGTGTCTGTGTGTGTGTGTGTGTGTGTGTGTGTGTGTGTGTGTGTTTTTCTGTGTGTGTGTGTCCTGCACCTGCCCGGGGCTCCCCGAGCCCCCCAAGCCCCCGAACCCCCTTCGTGCCCTGCTTTGACCCGCGGCTGCCGCTCCCAGCCCGGCGTGGCGTCCTTGGCACTGCTGTCCCCATCCCGGCACTGCTGTCCCCAGATTGGCACTGCTGTCCCCAGATTGGCACTGCTGTCCCCATCCCATCACTGCTGTCCCTAGCCTGGCACTGCTGTCCCCATCCCATCACTGCTGTCCCTAGCCTGGCACTGCTGTCCCCATCCCGGCACTGCTGTCCCCATCCCATCACTGCTGACCCCAGCCTGGCACTGCTGACCCCATCCCATCACTGCTGACCCCAGCCTGGCACTGCTGTCCCCATCCCATCACTGCTGTCCCCATCCTGGCACTGCTGACCCCATCCCGGCACTGTTGTCCCCATCCCGGCACTGCTGACCCCATCCCATCACTGCTGTCCCCATCCCATCACTGCTGACCCCAGCCTGTCACTGCTGTCCCCATCCCATCACTGCAGTCCCCATCCCATCACTGCTGTCCCCATCCCATCACTGCAGTCCCCATCCCGGCACTGCTGTCCCCAGCCTGGCACTGCTGTCCCCAGCCTGGCACTGCTGTCCCCATCCCATCACTGCTGTCCCCAGCCTGGCACTGCTGACCCCATCCCATCACTGCTGTCCCATCCTGGCACTGCTCTCCCAGCCTGGCACTGCTGACCCCATCCTGGCACTGCTGTCCCCATCCCATCACTGCTCTCCCAGCCTGGCACACACCCGCGGGCAGGTGCGGCTGAGGCTTTGGCACGTTTACGTGGCCTCAGGTGCCAGTTTCCAGATCAGGTGTAGGAAGGCACCCTCTGAACATCCGCCGCTGTTGGGGCACTGACCTGGCACCGCCCCGTGGTCCCTCCGCTTTGTTAAAAACACGGACGAGCCGCTCCGGGCTGCTCCAAACGGGGTTAAAAAGGGAAATGTGTCCTCAGCAGCTCGTAAAAGGGAACAACTCAACCCTCTGGGTAAAGAAATAAACACCTGGATGTTAATGCTTTTAAGTGGTTTTCGTTCTTGTGCGAGGATCCTCTGCGTGTTTGCATTTAAATGGGGTGAGAAACTCCGTGTCCTGCAGAGCCGGCTGCTGCTGCGAAAAAAGCAGTAATTTTTCCTTCGGGTTAGGAAAATAATCCTAATTTTCTAGGTGCAGACAGAACCGTAAAGGCAAAGTTGGCTGACAGGAGTGAGGTATCATAATTTAAAACCCCCAACAGTTAAACAGTTTTCTATTTGTGTGTAATTTGTTAATTATTTTTCAACACTTTTTGCATTTGAGAGGGAACAGAGCGGGGATAGAACACACAGGGGTTTGGAGTGGGTGTAAAGAGGGAAGATGCAGCCGACAATAGTGAGGAAATCCCACAGAATAAATCATTGCAGCAGGTCAAACACTCTGCCCCGATAAAACACGAACAGCCAAATAAATGAAATCCTGCAGCTCTTCGATGCTCGCCCGGAGGTGCCTCGCAAGTGAGACAAAAGGATGGAGGCAGCTGCGCTCAGAAGGAAACACTCCTGGAAGATTTGGGAACAGAGGTTCACGAGCCAGAGGGATTTATTTCTCCTGTCTCTTATGGGGTTTGATATCAGTAGAATGACACAACTCGGTAACCTCTGGAGAGATAATACCGGTTTATTCATCCTCTATTCCATCTATGATTCATTTGATTATTCTATTCCATTATTTGTCCTCTATTCCATCTATTCATCATTTGTTGAAGGTTCTTAACCTTGGCCTGAAGGTTGGGAATGTCAGAGAATTCCAGAAGGGTTTGGCTCAGAGGGGACATTAAAGATCATCCCTGCCATGGCAGGGACACCTCCCACTGTCCCAGG